ATGAATACCACACGCTTGATTCGCAACTCTCGTTGCGTTCGTTATAACCAGACCCGAATTACAGAGTATGAAGAAACTTCAGTAGTTTATATTCCCTGTTATATATATATATATGTATATACGCTGCTGACTTTTGTCATTTTTATCTACCAAAACCAATTGCCTAAGAAGACAGTATATCACATTAAGATTTAGATTTAGATCTGTCTGTACGATTTAATCTGGGGATTGATTTCGAATTCTCATAAGTGGTATCCCGCTCCTGCCCAATCATTATGATCGATGACTCCAAGAGTGTATACATACATACATATACATATACATATATATATATATATATATATATATATATATATATATATATATATATATATCCTAATACAATACTTCTAAAGAATAAGCTCATATGCCAATATACATACTAAATTTCTAACCAAACTCTCCTTCGACTTTCAGGACCGGATATTCCTGGATTCCTCCTACAGCCATTCCGGAAGCCCAAGAGAATAAGAACGGCCTTCAGTCCAAGTCAGTTACTGAAACTGGAACACGCCTTTGAGAAAAATCATTACGTGGTTGGCGCCGAGAGGAAGCAATTGGCGCAGGCACTCTCCCTCACGGAGACTCAGGTGAGAATTAATTAGAAAAATTACTACTAATTCGACGGTTTCGACCGATCGGTACTCGACTGCGCGCAACATTACGGAATAATGTTAAATGTGTTTCGCGCAAGTAAGGAACATCACGCGCGTTTCCTTCCCCTTTGACAATAGCCCCAGTGGATTTAATGGCTGCTCGTACGAGCTCCCATAACGAGGGAATTGATATGGTAATCTGGAATATACGCGGGGTAGCGCGTACTACGTGGGTTATATATATACATATACATACACCGTATATTATGTAGGTATATAAAAAGATATGCGTGCACGCAAGAACACACGTGGTAGGTATATATACATACACGCACACGTGTACTGCATATTCCAGGGGCGTTGGGCGTTAGCTTTGTAAAATAAAGCATGGGGGAAATGAAGGGGGGTTGGGAGTTGTGTCGGTTACGGGGACGAGGGCCATCTTGAAAATCTTTCGTTTGACCGTTAAAAAATAATATAAACTGGAGTTTCCGTCATTGACAAGCCTTTATTTTTTTTTATTATTTTACTTCTTAATAACGATACATTACATTGAGATGCTGACTCGTTACGAGTTCGAAGCTTGTAGTACTTTGGATTAGCCACAAATATATATATATATATATAAACCATACTGTATTTATATAATTGCGCAACGGATCGAGTAACGGCTCCGCTGCCGTTCTAACGATTTAATACGATTCCTCTTGTACAGGGATCTGCTAATTGCAAATAATTAACCGACTAATGCCGGGTATCGGTTAGCGTGATGCCGATCCTGAGTTGTTCTTATTGTTGGCGAATCTTGATGAGCGATTAACGCTGGGTTTCGCGGAAAAGGAGGGATCGCGTCTACACGAGAGAGCGATTAGCTTCGACAGGGGCGTGACTGGATGGAAGGATGAAGAAGAGAGAGAAGGAAGAAAAGGAGAAAAAAAAGTAAATAAAAATCTTAAGTAACAAGCAGAGAGAATTTGTGTCTCGTACGGATAAGACGTACTCGTTACCGTTTACATCCGTAAAGCAGAATTGCCGATCGAAGATCTTGCAGTAAATTAAATGTAAGGTTATTATAGTATCGGTACTAGTCTGAGACACTGTACGTACTTGTACGATATGTACGCGTTGCTTAGTGCGCCTCGTCGTGTCTCGCGTTTGTTACCGACTAAGGAGTGTGGAGTAAGCATAATTGCGTTACGTTACTAAAAGCTCCGGAATTGGCCACTTAACGAACAAGAGATGCAAATTGAAAGATAGGGAATGAATGGTCTATACGAACAGGTGGACAATGGTTCTGGCCGGGTTAAGTTGGTACACTGCAGGTATCGGGTATTCTTGTTTCCGTTTGAACCCACCCCCCTCCCACCGCTTTTTCCTCGAACTTTAATGATGATTGCCAGTCGCGATGCCTGGAAAATTAGTTGCCATTAATTTATTGCCACCTTGTCCCATTTTCTACGTTAATTAAATCGTGGTGCACGGACATACGACGAATTATTGGAGATACGTAATATCGTTAATGGGATTATTCATATTGGATTTCTTTTTTTTTTATATCGATCGATTGACAGGAGTCGAGAAGAAATTTTATTGATAAGCATTACGTTATGATTGTCGCACTTGGGCGCATAATGAACCTTGAGAATTAAGTGCCGGGATTACTGATTGCAGCGCGCATACGAGGACGACGCGAAACTCGCGGCTACCTTCAGACGACCGTAGGGGGTTAATTTTTTTTTTCGTTTGGACAAAATCTTAGAGTATGGCGATTTTTAAGATATCTGGTCACTACTGTGGTAGAAGTGTGAATTTGCAAAATTGAGGTTTTCCGTACGTGTTGGATAGGACTGTACGGGTCTAGTGGATTATGGGATTTATTGAAAAAATATTCACTAGGGATGCATCTTTAGGGAGACTGTATTAGTTGCAGTGCGCATGCGCGAATAACGCGAAACTCGCGGCTACCTTCAGACGACCGTAGGGGCTTAATTTTTGTTTTCGTTTGGACAAAATCTTAGAGTATGGCGATTTTTAAGATCTCTGGTCACTACTGTGGTAGAAGTGTGAATTTGCAAAATTGAGGTTTTCCGTACGTGTTGGATAGGACTGTACGGGTCTAGTGGATTATGGGATTTATTGAAAAAATATTCACTAGGGATGCATCTTTAGGGAGACTGTATTAGTTGCAGTGCGCATGCGCGAATAACGCGAAACTCGCGGCTACCTTCAGACGACCGTAGGGGCTTAATTTTTGTTTTCGTTTGGACAAAATCTTAGAGTATGGCGATTTCTAGGATCTCTGGTGACTACCGTGGTAGAAGTGTAAATTTACAAAATTGAGGTTTTTTGTACGTGTTGGATAGGACTGTAGGGGTCTAGTGGATTATGGGATTTATTGAAAAAATATTCACTAGGGATGCATCTTTAGGGAGACTGTATTAGTTGCAGTGCGCATGCGCGAATAACGCGAAACTCGCGGCTACCTTCAGACGACCGTAGGGGGTTAATTTTTGTTTTCGGTTGGACAAAATCTTAGAGTATGGCGATTTCTAGGATCTCTGGTGACTACCGTGGTAGAAGTGTAAATTTACAAAATTGAGGTTTTTTGTACGTGTTGGATAGGACTGTAGGGGTCTAGTGGATTATGGGATTTATTGAAAAAATATTCACTAGGGATGCATCTTTAGGGAGACTATATTGGTTGCAGTGCGCATGCGCGAATGACGCGAACCTCGCGGCTACCTTCACACGACCGTAGGGACTTAATTTTTGTTTTCGTTTGGACAAAATCTTAGAGTATGGCGATTTCTAGGATCTCCGGTGACTACCGTGGTAGAAGTGTGAATTTTCAAAATTGAAGTTTTCTGGTTTTTTTTTGGATAGGGCTGTACGGGTTTAGTGAGGTTTTAGGTGGGTCATGGGATTTGTTGATAAAAAATATTCAAACGGACAGATCACATGTGACAGGCAGATTACATGTGAACGCGGCTAAATAAGAGAATGGTCATTTCGCATTGAAGGAACAAACGGTACGTAAATCAAATGTGTAATCGTCCGCTTATCACACATTATTGCCGACGACCGAAACGGCTACTTGAGGTTGTCTCACATCGCGACGACAATGGCTACTCACGCGCATTCTACGACTACCTATTCTTATAACGAAGTCAGTATGGCTAATATAATCGTGACCGGCACTAACGGCCATAATTGTCCCAGGAAATTAGGTCGCGTTCACACTGAAAGCGCACTTCGTGAAACTTGTACAAACTTACACCGAGTAAGGTGGACCCGCGTTACTTTTAGTGGTTACACGTGGATACGTCAAAACGGCCGAACGAACGAGTGCCCTGTGTACGAAGCATTAAAGTTTCGTGCGTACCCGCGGTGCGTTACGTGTTCCGTAAGAGGCTCGTTAACGATTCACGTCGAGCAGCGTTTATTTCCATGAATGCGACGTGAAAGAGCAACAAATTCAAGGTGCACGCGCCCCTGGCGACACTCGCATAGAATCACGATTCATGTGAATTGCGTTAAAAACCCATCCGAGATCTTATTTATGGTTGAAGAACATAGGACCCCGCGTGACTCTCTTACCACCTACTGTTATATATAGGTATATGAGGAGGCTTCGACCATGAACTACGATACGTACCGGTACGCACCTAGATAAGCGCGGGTAATTTGAATTGCGACAAAGTGACGTGCACAAAAAATATAACTTTGTCGGAATATATGGTGCGCGCGCAAGCTGCTCGCGACCATCTCAAGGTACCGAACCTGTCCATACTCTTGATGGACGTCCTCGGGATGCACCGAGTTGTGGCCGTAATGGAGAAGTTTGCGCATTATGCAGGCTGCATGCGATTCACTATGCATAATGAGGCGCGTCGTTCCTGCACCGAGAATAAAGAATTACGAATACTGTCATCAATCCTCTGGCTTGACGCAGTATATATAAAAAGATTTGAATCGTAATATTAGAAAAAAAAAAAAAAAAATTTATAAAATATTTCTGAAACTCTCGTAATGTCCTTGCAATTTTAAACGTATGCGAAAGTGCATCCTCAATTCGATTGTTGAATTGCATCGAAACTCTCTTCGCCCAGAATATAGGCGATATTTCGAGGCGCGATGTTTGACTAGATTTTTTTTTTTTTTTTTTTTTTTTTTTTTTTTTTTTTTTTTTTTTTCATGCTCGTTGAAATTCGCGACAGTAACGTGCAAAATTTTATTGTACCCCGTTGAAAGAGTAATAGTCGCGTTATCTCGATATCCGTTTTCGGTATCGCAGATAAATATTGAGGGCACCTGTCTGTCGTAGCGTTAGTGCATGTATATATGCACGACACGTGCTGCCCTCTCGAATGCAGATGAGGTACCGAAACAATGGCTAATCGACGGAAGGGAATTTTAGTGGCGCCATCCATTAAGCCTCGTTCACAGGTTGGCGGTTGATTTTTGTTTTCCAATGGGTCGACCAATGAAATCCCGCTGATTTTGTCGTGGGAATTACATGGAAAAGCCGTCGAGTTGGTCGGATCTAGGGAGAAAAGATTCCTATGGACTTATACCCGATTCGTCGATCAGCGAAACGGATGCAGTTCGTGCATCGGTCGATCCTGCTGCACCTCGGCTCTTGACTCTCTGGTCACGCCCGTAGCGTGTCACTGTCACGGCCTTGCGTGCATACAGATTGCATGCAACAAGCTTGAAACGTCGGTTAGTGACCAAGGTGCATTCTGACCCTTTGATTTTTTTTTCCACCAAATCTCTCAAATAAACTTCCAAGTGTATAATTATGAGATTATTTTTAAGGGATGACAAATTCTTAAAAAAAAAAAAATCAAATAATTCATATCTAATATATATATATGCGTATACGTGTATGTACTCTGTGCATGAAGGGTATGGAGTGAATGTATGCATTGGATATAGATATAGCACCGAGGGTAGAAAAATGGCGTCTATAAAGGGGGCGGC